GTCCCCTGAGGGACTGCAACTAACAAACTACTGTAAATTGTCGCGGCGAAGAAGTTTTCTGGTAAGTGGAGATTGTCTGCCAACGTTAAGAAGAGTGCCGTCATGGTATGCAACGAGAACAAGGAGGAACCAGTAGAACATAGATGGAAGTGGGGGATCGAGGAGATTGCAGTAGTGGACCAGTACACATACCTCGGAGTAGAGATCGCAAAAGACTGCTCGTGGAATGCACACATGTCCAAGGTAGCGGAAAAGGGCAAAGCACGAGCAGGGAAGCTGCACCCAATACTCGCAAACCGGCACCTCGATACACGCATCAAATTGACGGTTTTGAAGAGCGTAATCGTACCGCCGCTAGAGTACGCCGGAGAAGTATGGGAAGGAAAAAAGAAGGTACTGAAAGAACTCGAGGCGGCGCAGATGAAAGCAGCGAAGATCATCCTAGGATGCTCCAAGCGCACAAAATGCAGCCGTCAGGGCAGAGTTGGGGATCCAATCCTACGGTCGGGAAGAGACGCGAAGAAGCTGACATGGCAGTATCGCATGTGCGGGATGGGAGAGAAGCGGTTGCCGAGAATTGTATTGGAGGCGAAGTGGGCCAACAAAAAGAGGGGTAGACAACCCACGGAATGGGTCAAGGTTGTAGAGGACGTATGGAAGGGGCTCGACATCGACGAAGATGAAACGCTGGAAACGGAGGGTCTACAGGGGTTCAAGGAGGAGAAGATATCTGTTGCTTGTGCCGAGAGAGAAGAACAGAATCTAAGGAAAGAAACCAAGGATATGAGGTGGGTCTAGAAGTGTATGAAATGTTGAAGGAAGGAAAAGGGTTCAAGGATTACCTACATGAACCCATGGATGCAGGAACAAAGCTTCAGTACAAATTCAGGACCGGGGACATGGCCCTCGAGAACGTCGACGAAGACATAGGACGGTAGACGACGAAGACGACGAGTTCAAATGTGATTGCGGCTTCGAATGCGAAGACCGTGTTCATGTAGTCGCGGAATGTCCGTGGATTGGCATTGACATATCTGCTGATGTTGAGGGCGTCAGAGTTGTTCGCGGAAAAGGATGGGAAAATCCACGAAGTTTGTTGTTGTTGTTGTTTCTCACATTAGCTCTAAAAAAAAAAANAAAACCACTCGGAAGGGAAACAAAATGATAGAAAGAAAGACCAGCTACCGCACCAAACGAGAAAGAGCGTCGAGGAGACCGAAGTGTAGTACTGCCTGTGCAGGGGGGACGTAGCATTCTTCGAGGGCGATAAGCAGCTGGAAGGACACGAGAGGTTGAGAGCAGATAAGATAGAAGTGCAGATGAGAGGCTCGAAGGGAGACCAAGGGAGGAAAGGAGCGGTGATGGTCAGGGAGAGGGGGAGGGCGAATGGAGCGGTGGGATTGATGTTGGAACTATTATTCGGGATTTATGGAAGTGAAGGATTAAGTGCAACGGCACCATTGANGTGTAGTACTGCCTGTGCAAAGGGGACGTAGCATTCTTCGAGGGCGATAAGCAGCTGGAAGGACACGAGAGGTTGAGAGCAGATAAGATAGAAGTGCAGATGAGAGGCTCGAAGGGAGACCAAGGGAGGAAAGGAGCGGTGATGGTCAGGGAGAGGGGGAGGGCGAATGGAGCGGTGGGATTGATGTTGGAACTATTATTCGGGATTTATGGAAGTGAAGGATTAAGTGCAACGGCACCATTGATGGTACACAGAAAGAAAGGGAAGTGGGAGGTATGGCAGAGAGGGAAGGCGACAGGACAAATGAGGAAGGGGATAATAAGAGCGGTGCCAAAGATGTGGTCGAAGGAAGGGAAAGGGGCAAGGGCAAAGTTAAAACCGGAAGAATTTGCGTTACATTCGGGAAGGACAGGTGGTGCGACGAGGCTGGCCGCGAAAGGGGTACCGGAGGCGGTGATAAGAAAGAAAGGAGGTGGTCGTCGAACGCATTCATGGCATACGTGAGGGCGAACATGCAAGATCCAGCTTGGGTTTCGGCGGTGTTGGAAGAAGGTGAAGGGGTATTCGAGAGACAACCGGGGCAAGGGACGGAATGGGGAAGAAATCGTGACGAGGGATCCATAAGTACGAAGAACAAGACTTCGTGATGGGGGAGGTTTGTGTCCAAGCTGGGCGACCAGCGGAATGTGGTCAGCCTGGTTCTTATTACTTAAGGAAGCGTGTGGATTCCTTAGTAGGCTTAAGGGCCGGGAGAGAGGGGGAGAGCTCCACCNGAGGTTTGTGTCGAAGCTGGGCGACCAGCGGAATGTGGTCAGCCTGGTTCTTATTACTTAAGGAAGCGTGTGGATTCCTTAGTAGGCTTAAGGGCCGGGAGGGAGGGGGAGAGCTCCACCTCCAAGACCCGGCCTTTGCGCGGGTTGTAGTCTACGTGACTGAGCTGGGAAAAATAGATGGGACGTACAGGGAGATGTTTGAGGCATGGAAAAGAGAGGAAAGGACGGTAGCTGTACTGGGGCATAGGAGGTGGGTTGAAAAGGCGGGAAGGGATATCGTTAGGATAGACAGACTAGTGAAGACATTTTTGAGCCACCTTTGGCAAAGTAGAAAGGAACGATTGGCCATCGGTGATCCGTCCTGTGGGAACAATGCTCCGTCCTCCCGAGGATGCGTGGTCAATGGTCTAACCGCAAAGGCATGCAAAACATAAGAGCACGCCCATCCCCCCCCCCCC